TACAAACAAAATAAATATATTGAAAAATATAAAAACCAAAAATATATACTTTAGAAGATGATCTAGTATCAAAAACGTTCGATTCAGCACAACACACAGTCCTCAGAAAAACACCACACAAAAGTGCCAGTGCTGTCAGCTAAAACACACACACCAACAAAAAAAATATTGGAGTAGCCCAAGATATAGCCAAAGATTGCAGTGCCACAGCACTAGCGAAAATTTAAATTTGCCGACTGGAATGCTTTCGGATAAACGACACTCTACTGTAATGATGTTATCTGATATGATTTTACCCATTCATTTACAAATGTGTTAACATTACAAGTTATTACTTAGTTAATAACTAAGTAATACTTATTACTTAGTTAATAACTAAGTAATAACTTTATAAGTATTACTTTAAGCTATTTTGAAAAAACCAGCAGTTTGTATGTACTTAATGAAAACACAACTACATTCAAAGAAAGACCTAAAAATAATATACGAAAGAAGCTTAAGTGCTTCAAAAAGTGCAAATTTTGTCTAGAGGACCAATGGCTAGTTCTATGAAGAACTTACCAACTTGAGTTTGAGATTACGAAAATTGTGTGATCTGATGAAAACAAAAGCTCTATTGAATGCTAAAGCTAGAATATGCACTTTGGAATTATTGAAACAATAGATTTTTTCAAAAAATGTCCAAAATAAATAAATGAAAAACAGATTTCTTCCATAAAAATAATAATAATTCTCTCTTCATTGGCAATGTGTATGATGTCTGAATGACTTTGAACTGATGAATAAATTGACAATGTATAATTGGGAAAACCAAATCTGAAAGTATCACTTGGGAGTGGAAACTTTCTTATAAACACATAACATGATGAAAGATTTTGAATTAAATGCTATTTTTGCGACTAACCGAACCAGATAATGACTTCAAATTTCATTGTGTGCGTATTTCAAATTATCCAAACTAAAACATGTGCAAAATTCTATTCTCTTGGCCAAGGACTAGATTTGACTTCAAATGATCTGATATCGAAATAACAAGGTTTCACTGTAATTTGAAATTTATCATTATTATTCCAGTTTCCAAGATAATTACCTTATTTAATCCTTTCAATTTTTTTAAGCATAAAGTTAGAAGTTCTCTTGATTCTAAATTACATTGTATCCAGTGTGATGGTGGTTGCAAATATCTGAATTAAAAAATAACAATAATATAAATTGATAATATAGAAAGATAAGAATTAAATAAATGCCTACTTAGGACAACAACAAACCTTTCACAACTATTACAAAAATACAAAACAACTTGTTTTGGTATTCCTTCTGTAATATCAACTTTAGTACGAATACATCCAACACACATATTGGCTGGATTTGGCAATATAGATATTCCACATTGGCAGCATAAACTGAAATATAAAAATTATAAATTTAATGTTCAAAATAAACAAGTAAATATCTTTAAACATTTTTTTAAATCTTAGAGAAATTTACAGTAAACTATAGATAATTCTGAAGTTATAAATATCAAATAAATAAAAAGGTGAAAAAAAAAGCTCAATTCTGGAAATCAAATTGACTTTTTATTTGGTAACAAAATGGAGAACATCATGGAGAACATAACCCTACCAGGTTAGGTTATGTTAGGGATTCCTTGTTAGGGATCCCTAACAAGGTGTTCCGAATAAAGAATAAGGAGCCATGGACCAGTGTGTAGCAGAGGATTGGCAAGCTGGCTACACTACTGTGCCTCTAATCTCCATGAAAACAACAATTGAAGAAATACAATAATACTACTGTGTCCGAAGCAGCTGACATGTCAAACAGAGTACCACACAGGTATGGTGTAAAGTTGGATATGTAATCGAGCAAACAAATTTGGCATATTGCCACGATCAATAGCAGATCTTTATACAAACTAGGAAAACTGAAAGTATTGCAGGAAAATTTAGAGAGAATAAATTGGGATATTGTCAGAATAGCAGAGACCTATTGGACTGAAGAAGGTGTTATTGAACTTAGAGGGAAAACTCTACTATTCTGGTCATAGGGATGGTTTACAAAGGGAGAGTGTTGCCATTCTTGTTAAAAAATCCCTGTTAAATAGCATTATAAAAATCAATCCAGTTTCTGCTAGAATTTTGTCAATCAGACTAAAAACTAGAGAGGGAAATATCTACATCAAAATCATCCAAGTGTATGCCCCAGAAAACAGCCATGAAATACAGGATGTGAAATTCTTTTATAACAACCTAACAGGGGAAATAAGAACTACAGACAGGAAAGACATATAAGTGATAGATGATTTCAATGCCAAGATCAGCAGTTTCAGAAATCATGACTTGGATGTGATGAAAAGATTCGGTATTGGGAAGTGAATGGAGAAGGAGAGAGGATGAAAGATGCTGGATTTCTGCAAAGACAAAGACCTCTTTGTGGCAAATACCATATTTTACCACAGAAAAAAAGCATAAATGTACTTGGACTTCCCCAGGTGGAATCACTAAAAACTGTATCAACTATGTACTGATGAATAAATGGAAAACATCAATAAAAAATGTTAGAACATTAAAGAGACTAGATTTAGATTCTGACCATGTATACCTCACATCTTCAGTGAAAATTTCATTCAGAAAGTTTAAGAAATGGGATCCTCAAGATTTGATTTCCATCAAAAGCTTTACAGAATAGAAAAGAAACAATTTTCAAATGAAATTAAATGATCTTCAAGACTTAGCCAATTCTAAAATTGAAAATATAAATACATACTGGGAAAGGCAAGAATATCATACTAAACACAGCAGGACTAACACCTAACAACAAATGGATCACTCAGGAAATTCTGGACAAGTGTGAGGAAAAGAGAAAATTAAAGGCTTTAATCAGATCAAGACAGTATGAAGGAGAAGGAAAACTTTAGGCAACTAAAAAATGAAATAATCAAGCTTTGCAAGCAAGCTAAAGAGAAATGGCTCAACAATAGAGCAGAACAGTGTGAAGAGACAACAAAAACAATGATAAAATCTTATTTTAATTAAAACCATCAGGGAGATTACATCCAGTTTCTCTAGTGTTCCCTTGACAATGATTGACCAGTAAGAAAACGAAACTGGAAAATCGAGAAAAAATTATACAAATATGAATGGATTATTTCAATTCTCTAGGGACCCTCAACTATATAGAAAATATGCTATATCATCTTCCAAAAGAGACAGAATATACTATAAAGAGAATGCACACTCAAAGCACCAGGAATTGATGGGATACCTTCAGACTTTTAAAGAGTAGGGGAGAACCAGCAGTAAAATTCCTTACTTCGCTTTTTAATGAAATTCTAAGCTTGAGAAAAGGACCAGAAGATTGGAAAACAAGAAGTATCATACCAATCCATAAAACAGAAAATAAGTTTGCTTTAACTATAGACCAATCACATTGCTTTCTCATGCTTATAAGATACTAGCAGACCCCACCATGCATTGTTGTGGCTCAAAATGTATCTGTTATAAATGTATAACACTTCCCCCATGGGAAAGGGGAATTTTTTGAAAAATCCCTTCTTAGTGTACATTCTGTTAACGTACCCTATTAAAACGCAATAAAAAACGCAAAAAACCGCATCTAAAATAGTATAAATAGAAGCAGAGTTCTGTACAGTAAGCCTTAATCCTAACCAGCTCCCTTCAGTGGGGGGAATTTCGACATGTATATTATATAAAAACATGTGCATATTCAAACGCAGCATTGTGTCAAAATTTCAAAGGAATCGGTAGGAACAAACAAACATTACATTTTTATTTATATAGATAGATAGAAGATGATCTGCTTTAGTTCATTTTCACAGAAAAGCAAACTTAGGGCGTCATACTTGTAGCGCCATCTGTTGGACATAAAAGCCTTAACCTAGATTATATCTTTTAATTTATATGAATGTTTAACAGAATAATATATAGCCTATGTCCACCCTGAGGTTCCATTCTAAATATTGGTGAAAGAATTTTTGAAATTGGATGAGTAGTTTCGGAGATTACCCGCTACATCCAAACTTACTTACAAACATTACCTCTTTATAATATTAGTATAGATGTAGATATACAAGAATACTTCAAAATAGGCTGCAAGCCACTTATGAAAATATCATCTCTAAAAACAGGCTAAATTTAGAAGAGGTCAATCAAAACTGATTTTCAATTTAAAATCACCAGCAGATGACCAAAATAAACAAGATCCAATAACAATCTACAGTTTTATCTAAGATCCATTTTTCCCCCTATTAACTTTTTGTCAAAATTTATTCAATTTGTTTTCTAATTGACAAGTTAGTTGTAAATTAGTATAGTAAAATCACACTAGTTCCAACTAATTGGGACAGAGCCGTTTGGATTAGCAGAAGAAAGCAGTAAAACAGGTCTGGTTTATATAGATTCAACACCATCAATGATGTCAGTGTCCTACCCTTTATTTCATCGACTTGTACTTAATGGAGATGCCACAATAACAGACTGGGGGAGGGGAAACACCATACAAAGATCAAGCAGTTTTGTGTGTCTACTTCAGAAAAATCAGTTTTTCTGAAGTAGCAAGGCCCCGAACATTTGACAAGCTTGATGAAGCCTTATTCATGCAGTTCATCCAAGAAAGAGAAAGAACACCCCTAAGTGGGCCTCTTGTTAGCAAAAATTTCCTCTCTGCTGACCAAAACATGTTCAGATTAGCAGTGTTTGAACTAGTGGGACTCTACTGTACTTCTAATTTTATATATTTAAATCAGTGTTTCTCAACGAGAGCGATATCGCTCCCATGTGGACATTTTTCCACGTTGAAGGGGTGATTAGTAACAATTTATATTTTGGGAAACGAAAAACAATTTTCTGGGTGATATAGTAAAACATTATACAGTGGAACCCCGATTAACAAACGTCCTGGATAACAACAAAACCGGTTAACGAACTTTTATTTTGCAAAAATTTTGTCTCGGATAACAAACAAAATTCAGATAATGAACTTAATGGCTTTTTGTGTCAAATTTGTAAGCTTGCCGACTTTTAGGGGGAATCAGTTAATCGTGTGTCAGTGATGGTCTAGGGTCCATTTGTACATTGGTGGTGGCAGAGGAGACAAAGATAACAAGTATTTTACAGTGAAAATCATCTATATATATAACCCATTCAACGGGTGTCCGTCCCGTAACCGTTTGATAATGGACACTAGAGGCACCCCTATTGTGTGTCATATTTCAAACATTCAAATTAACAATTTTAATTCTTATTTAAATTAACAATATGAATTATTACAGTAGAACCTCGAAAACTCGGCTCTCGATAACCCGGCACTCCGGATAACTCGGCCACACCCTGGCAGGGCAAAAAAATCCTTAATTAATTTTCATTATAGACAGCTTTATAAAAGCTCTCATAAAGTATTTTTCTGATGTCTGTCTTATCAG